ATTTTAAGCACGTCAGACTTTATATGGATGTTTTTTTCTTAGAACTTTAGTTTTAATGATGCAGGCGTTAAACGTTACTCGATTCAGTCGGCCTATCTGTGACGTTATCGCCACGCACCAGCAGCAGCGCAAAGACAACATACATAGCATGGCGAATGACAAAGGAGAAGCCGACGAGCGAGAAATGACCAGTGTGTGAAACACACATTGGCTTTTGTAAAGACGGAGACGGAGATGTAGGACATGTAAAGGTCAATAACAGGAATTTAAGAAACTTCACCTGCACTGCAGTGTTAATTTCGTTGACGAAGATGATGATGAAAATTATTCGCCAACGATTTTTTCACAGATGAAAACGAGACGATAACTAAATAAAACCTAGTTTCGAATTACAAAAACTATGACGAAAATCTATTGACATTTTCGTTAAACGAATAAACACTAGATGAAAATGTTAGATAGTGTCGATCTGGGAAGCGATCCGTGGTCAGAACTGATGTCCTGCGTGTGTGGTAGATGCGCACATTTGTACTGTAACATGCTGATCTACCCCGCGCTCGCATAAAACGTTAAAATATGTTAATGTCTTATATGTCAAAAGTTACTGAATCGATTTCAAGTCACTGAATCGTTTCGGATCGTATTGTTCTAAATTAACCATATCGTCCTTGAATCGTATCGACAACCACGAATCGTGATACGAATCGAATCGTTGTTAAAACGAATCGTTACACCCCTAGTTTTTACATAAAAAAATCTTTAAGATAGAGTCTTCATTTGTACATTTATGAGCCAACCATAATGTAATAGAAAGAATGACACCTTGACTGTCCACCACGGTTGCCTTTATCAGCCTGTAGGCTCAACTGAGTGGTGAGGAGTCGGGTCCGAACTGGCTTGAAAATCTACAAAATGTGACGTCATGCGCGTTATCGTCTACTTGGGCTTACATCCGTACGGCAGCCATTAGTAAGCAGCGCCAATCGCTAGCAGTAGTGTTTCAAATAGACTCTGCGGACGGAAAGAAGCGACCAGCCTCTAGGACAATCCAGATATCAACAGAAACTCCTCGTAAGTTAAAAAAAAGAGCATTATCTAGTGCGGCCAACTAGCGTGCCATCATGTGCACCGAGAACGAGCATGAGACTGCAGTTTCTCTTAAGGCCACTGGTGTCAATAACGGAAAGAAATTTCAGAACTTACAATGCTCCTTTAAAGGGATACTCCACTTTTTTTGGAAATAGGCTCATTTTACCACTCCCCCAGAGAGACTTTCTGCTCTCATTGACTTCCATAGTATATTTTTTTCCTACTATGGAAGTCAATGAGACCAGAAGCTGTCTGGTTACTGATATATGATGTTTTACTAACAAAGTTCGGGAGGAGCATGTTCAGAATTAAACACAGGTGGAGCACATTCAGGTAATCAAGCCTAATTAGACACGAGTGGAGCGCACTCCCAATCAATGAAGTAAGAGGTATATATACAGCAAACTTAACTCAGTTCATTGACAGTCTAACAGCATCCCACCACCACTCCATCTCCTCACTTCTTCTCCTAAATACTCTTACAACAACGGGGGGGGGGGGGAGCACTCTGGGTTCGGGCAAAAATTCCGAGCTCGGAGCCCTCCCCCTGGACAGCACGCCAAATACGCATAATCTTTACTCTGTTTAATTGATGTAAATGTGAACTCGTGAATCTTCTAAATATCAGAAAATCGGCTGAATAGATCCGAAAACGGGAAAACTCAACTGGTTAACTCTGGGGGAGTGGTAAAATGAGCCTATTTCCAAAAAAAGTGGTCAACAAAGTCAACACCATTCCTGAATATTTTCACCATAAAACTGCAGTGAAAAAAAGACAGTCTCAAAAACACGGTTTGAAATCGCTGGTGTTTCTGACATCACAAACTTCCTTGTAACCAATCACGTCAATGTACCGGCGGGATTTAGCATAACATTAACAGCGAACTACCAGGGGAGTCTTGAGAGATCCCAGGTTATCCCCGTATATTTTTTGTTGATATGAATAATCGGGTGGATTTGGCAATATAGCGGGTGTATGATGTATATTACAATGTTATGATGAACTACAGTATATGCCTTCATCCACTGACGTTCTGAGTTGTTCAACATACAGTAGTTTGTGTCACATTAGCAACACTAGCTATTTGATAACTTAGTCAAGCAAAAGACTAATATTAATTCCTGTTTATGTGTCCGACGTTGTAAAGAGTGATACCATTGTGCAGTGTTTACCTTAGTAAGTTGGCCAAGTGAATCTGTGAGCTGGCGTGAGTGGAGGCTGGGCTAATTAGCATATTCATGTTTCCGCCTATGCTAAATGAAGCAAGGGTGCAGAGTTGCATTCCAGCTATGTTAAGCCATGATGCATTTTTTTTCACTAGAACATTTTTAAATTTTGGTGATCAAAGATGAGTTTTAAAGGATAAAATGATTGACTACAGGGGGGCTTTCAGTTACACTTTTCAAGGGAGTCAGACAACATATGGTCTCTGCATGTTGAAATAAGAGAAAGTATTCTAAAATTAAAAATAACAAAAACAGCATAACAAAGCAAACGTCCCCCTCATATGTTTCACCATTGCTAACTTTTCAGCTCTCTCTCTCTTTCACAGGTCTGTTGCTCTTGACTTCTTGATGAATGCAAGTGGACACCATACAAGGCTTTGCTGTGCGTCTGTTTACAATCTCCTGTTATTACACGATACACACATTAATCAGCAGCAGGTCCACCTGATCACCATGTATGGTCGTCCATCGCTCGACTCGGGAGGGATGGATCCCACAAACAATTTGATAGCGGTGAGTCAAAATGGGCTCCTCCACATGGACTCTGTGCACCATCCAAAATCAACTACACCAAAGTGTGGAGACTGTGAAACCCCTGTTTGGACCCATTGAACATGATTCAAATCAGCACGACGTCTCTCCATTAAAAAAAAAATGGCATTTTTTGTACCCTTATGTATTTGAAGATCAAAGGCTGGGAAATGCCCCATACTATGAGGGTCCCCACAGATTGTCATGCTTATGTAAAGCACACGTGCACACACTCACTCACGCGCACACATACAATGTGAGAATATTCTCAGAGAGATCAGTGTGTGTTGCTTAGGTCGTTCTCATGGACCTGACGGGTTCAGAGGTGAGAAATGAGACCCTTCCCTCCATGCTTTTGTCACTGGAACACGCACTAATGGAGCTGACACTGAAGTTTGCGCTCATTTGCCTTGCAATGGTGAGAAACACCCAGATAGACGTATAGAAATGCAGGACATATTGCATAATGCAGGAGATTAAGCTGTCAGTCACTGACTAGAGGAGCACACATGGGAAAATATCTTTAACTAGGATAAACTATGGGAATATGGTTGAGAAAAGCAGTCTTGCTATATGTATTTCAGTCTTAATATTAGCATATCTTGATGTTTTATAATATATATCTCTAAAACCTCCAATACAGTATGTCGGTTATCTGATATTTGGTTTTGTTTTTTATTTATCAATATCAGTTGATATTGTACATTATCATTTCCCCCTTTTTTACATTTATGTTACGTTTTTTGGTCATCTTATTTGCTCACTTAAAGTTGTAATGTAACAGAAGTAGTGACAGATCTTTTCTTCTGGATTGGATTTACATCCAAGTAACAGGTTATAGAAAGAGAAAAAGAAGATTTAGAGCAGGGACTTGATTGGATGTTGACAAATATGAAAGTGAGGTTTAAGTCTGGTTGAAATAAGAAAGGAGAAGGGTTTATTAAGTCTTTCATTTCACCGGAAGATCGACATTTTATAATTTTTTATAATTTATATATATTGAATACGTAATTTAATATATATATATGAATAATTCAGATGTAAAAGCCTCTAAGTGCCATTTGAAATTTTCTTCTAGAATGATAATTTTTATCAAGCTTGTATATTTAAGTTCATTGATTTCACTTAAATGGCAATGATAGTTACCTATTAATTGTTATTTAAGTGAAATTACTGAACTTAAATATACAAGTTTGATAAAAATCATCATTAAAGAAGAAAATTTCAAATGGCATTTAGAGGCTTTTGCATCTGAACTCTTCATATATATATATATATATATATATATATTGATTAGATATTATGAATATATATATATATATATATATATATATTTAAACATGAATCGTGAATCGCTCACAGATCAATAGAATGCATTTAGAAAATAGACAGTTTCCATTTCATGCCAATCTTAAAATTAATCTTTAAAACACTGATAATTAAAATATACTGTTAAATGTAATCTTGAGAAGATCTCAGAATGATAATCCATGTTTCTCTACATTATAATAGGTTATTGTGATGCTAAATTTCATCAAAATTTTAGTTTTTTGTGTTTAATTTATAGAAAATAGTATAGATTTTTAAATAACACATTTTTAATGGTTTATCCGTATCATCCAGTCTTTCAATATTAGATAAATCAATAGCAATACATTTTTGCAAACAGAATGAATGTACAAAAGTATATCATTTTAAAGTAAAGACAACAAACTCTGTAGATGAACAGAATGAATTTGAGGTCAAACTACAAGAATCAAATGTCAATCAAATCACACCACTGCTAAACAGGCAAATTCATTACAGGAAAAACAACTGTCTTCATGAGGTCCAGCCACTTCAAAACAAATTACTTTCAACATATACATAGAAATATCGTTGTAAACGCAGAACACCCTACAGGACTACAGATTTTGGCTTTTCTGCAGTATTTCTGCTCGCTTTGAAAACTCCCACCCAAGACCCTTAATCCTTCAAAGAGAGTTAAGAATCAACTTCAGAAGAAAAGCGGTCTACCAGTTCAACACAACCCTGCAAACTGGGCCAAAAAGAACTGCATGAATAAATGAGTTGGTTCACATTATCATTTTACTGTGTTTTACAGTACTCACGCTAACAGGCTGATGGCTGTCAGATGGAAAAAATCAACTCACCGGTTTGTGTGGGTGTGTATGTGTGTGTGACACGCACAGATTTCCCAGGACGACACACACAATTCCCTATACGTGCTGGTTGGTCTGCTTTGTAGAAGTAGCCTGCTCTTTTCTGCTTTAAGGTCAGTTCTTTCTCTCTCTCCCTCACTGGTTTTTGCTCCCGTCTACTTAACCTCTGTTAAGTCCCTCTCAAATACTGACACACACATGCTCTCGATCTCTCGCTCTCTCTCTCACTCCACCACTACTGGACTTCCTGGTTGACAAGGGTTGCTATGGTAACATACAGACTGTGTGCAGAGGCCTGGCTCACTTTTGGCTGCCTTCACTAAAGGGCATTTGAATAGGCAGTCAGCCTTTTGTGGCCATAAGGTGATATTTCACAGCACGGGGTTAAAGACTGGAGAATTCAAAGACCAAACCACATCCACCTCCTGACGTTTCTCCTCTCATTTCGTTCTGTTCTGTCCTTCCTGTGCTCCCACCCCAGTGTTTTTCTACTGCTTATGTGTGTCTGGCCATACATGGCCAACCAGAGGACAGAAGTGACTAAGTGAAAAGTGAATTTATGCTTGAGAATTTTACAGATAATTGACAAATAAACTGAGGAAGAGGGCTTGAATTGAGAAACATCTCCAATTCTTACTTCAAGAAAGTGTAAGATTTAGTGGAATGGTCTCAAACTGCGGGAAATGTATTTCACACAGCATGTTTGCGTTCAATGTGTACTTACTGTATGCACACCATAGTTGCAATTTATTTGATCAAATGCAGTAAAAACAGTAATAATGTGAAATAATATTACAATTCAAAATAATATATTCTACTTTAATATGTAATTAATTCCTGTAATGGAAAAGCTGAATTTTCAGTAGCCATTATTCCAGTCTTCAGTGTCACATGATCCTCATTCAAATATACTGATATGGTTCTCAAGAAACATATTTTTTTTTATAGATGTTAACCTTATCATTATATAAATGACTACTCAGACATTGAACATGTCATGTCATCTTCTTAGGAACTGTGCTAAAAGATACTGAGGGTAATTGTGGATTATCACATGTACAAAGTACTCATGATTTAATTTACGAGACTAAAAATAAATTTAAGTCATAATTTACTCACCCTGGTGTTGTTCTAATGGTGTATGTCCTTCTTTCTATGCCCTTCAAAAGTGGCATCCCTATATTACTTTAAAGTAAGTCAAAACCAGTAAGTCAATACAAAAACTTATATAAATGGCATCAATCTTTCTGCTATACAGTTCAAATCGGTAAACAATTAGCCTACTGTTTGGCTTACAGAAAATTGTCATCATTATTATTAACAAGTATTTATTTTAACTAGCTAAAAAAAAAAAAAGAATATGGGCATCATTTATTACCCCTGACTGACTGGAGACTGCCCCTGAAGGGATCAAATCTTGAACTCTGGTCTCTCAACCAAGCTTGTTGAGACCATTCTAAACTCGACAGCCCTCTACTTCCCCTCCATGAGGAAACTGTATGAAGTGGAGTCATTCAAGAGTTTCAACCTTGGAGGGTTTGTCTATGGCACCATTTGAGCCTTAGACAGCTCCAGAGAAATGTCTGACTCCTCTTAATATGACATTCTTACTTGCAATTAATTCACTGAAAAGGTTAGGAGATCTGCAGTCCCTGTCTGTTGCGTCCTGCTGCCTAGAGTTTGCTCTAAAAGCTTTTCTCTACCCTAGACCGGGTTGTGTGTAGCCTAATATCCTATTCGGAATGAGTCTGATACTTCTCCATAGGGCTTTGATTATGAGGCGTGTCTTAATCGAACCAGGAAAAAAAAAAACAACTCTGCACTCAATTGGATAGACCTATCAGTGCAACGCAGTACGCGGTGTATGTTGAGCGACTCGTAGTCGTCAACAGAACTGAGCTGCACGCACTCTGGAAAAAGTATTTAAAAGACAAATTAGTGTTAACGAGTTTTGCCAATGTTGCAAAAATAATTTAAGGATTCGCGGAGTACTTGCAAACTCGAAAAACATTTTTGAACGAAATAGAAAATGTGAATGTATATACGAACAAGTTCTCCGTTTAGGATTAGATCTCGACAATAAAGACAACAAATCTGCTCGCATTTGTCAGACCTGTCTCAACTTTATAACACGGTTGGAGCGTGAATTGACTGATTTTAATAAATGGAGAGACGACGAAAGAGACAGTGACTACCAGTATGTGTATGGTGCGCAAGTAGTATAACAAAGCGTCACCATTGTTTGATGCAGCGATGGCGTACACGAGTTGCATCGCTGTCATGCTCATTTCGGTTGCTTCTTTTACTTGGTCTTCCATGACAACTGGGTTTTCATTGTGTCCCATCTTCTTACCAACCATCGGAGCCAGATGATAAATTAAACTTTTGCCGAATCCTGTAGGAAGGACGGCAAACACATCTTGACGATCGACAAATGCCTTTATTGCAGTTCTCTGTCCGTCTTTTAAAATTAATGCGTTGTCGATTTCTCCTAAAACAGACGGTCATCTTTGTTGTAAACCAGTTCAAATCCAGGGCTCTTTTTGATGATGTGATGATTACGCACCTGCAGATCATCTGTCCATCATTGCATAAAGCCTGCCGTGGCAATTTGAATGGCCCGACCATTTTTTAACTGATCATAATTATCCTCAATGGATCGAGTCCAGACCGAACTTCCCGACCAAAAAATGTTGTGGGAGGGGTTCGGGCTGGCATCCAGGCTAGGTTATGTGCCTAAAGTGCCTAAAAATGTAGCACACTATTGTTTTGCAGGCTTTTTGTCCTCCTCCTTTTCAGAGGGAGGACCAAGAGAGGCTATTTGCTTTGCACGTAATTGTTACATCCACTGCTCCTCTCAGTGGCGTGAATATGACCAATTGTTGGTCTGATTTGGTTCACTCAAGTTTGTGATGAGGTAGGCTGGTCCTCTCCACATGCCTTCATCAGATTATATAGCCAGGGTATAGAGTCCATGGCAGGATCTCAAATGCTTGTGACTACGTTTGTGCTCACTAGCCGCTTTCCGACCGGAGGGACTTTTGCAGTTCCTAGAACCTAACGTTCCTATAACCGTTTTTTCTCGTGTTCCGACCGGACTAAATTGGGGATTTTTTAGTTCCTCAGACCGTAGTTCCTATAACTCTTTCAGTACCTAGTCTAGAGCCAGGACTTTTTTAGTCCGCTTTCCCTAGGTCTATAAGTCATTATAAGTCTTATAAGCCATGCCCACTGTGAACACGGAACTTGTAGCGCGCTGTCTGCCATACGCTGTGTGTTTTTGCAAAACATTACAACGAGGATTAAGACAAACATAACGCATTCAACAAGCTAATTGCTAATAATAGCTAAACTTACCCGTCGTTTTGTTTGCCTCCTGTGCTCTGCTCTTTTATCTTCTTCCATCATATTACTTAATATCATATTACGCTGGAGCCTTCGTCTTCTGTGTTTCTCTGTACAGAACTCAAGCATAATCTTTAAACGCCGCCGTTCGTTCTCCGTTAATTAAGGTCCCGGCAAGGCAGAACAGGAACATTGCAATAGCCTCCTCCATGCTGGTTTGTTGTTGTTGTATGTGGTCGCACTACGTCTAGTGATGACGCTATAAAGACCGTCGCCGTGCTTGCGTTACCCCTCCTACCAGTTCCTATGGCCACTTGGCCAGTGCGAACGCAAGCAGCAAAACCGAGTTTGGGGGAGAGTAGTTCTTAGAACTGTTTAGAAGTGGACAGTTCCTTTAACTAAGTTCCTGTAACTACTTGGTCGGAAAGCGGCTATTATGAGTTAAAACTTGGACTGGCATATGTTCAGTACGACGAAGTGGGTATGAACATTACCTTAGCGTCAACATTCTGATGCAGCGCTGAGTTCCTTCAAAAGGAAATGTCTTGGTTAGAAGGGAACGAGACATAACTTCCTGCATACCAGAGAGCGATTTACTTCATCCAATACTTTATAGCTTCAACGATGCACCATCATCCGTCACGGGACGATGTCTCGCCAAAGAGATTGGAGTGATTTCACATGTGTTTCAGATACAGTCAGACCAACCCAATCTCACGGGAATTCGTACGAATTTTATGAGGTGGCTAATTCATAACAATTCGTACGAACTCACTCGTACGAATTAGTGCGATTTTGCTAAATAGTACATATTTTACGAATTAGCCAATTCGTATGAATTCGTACGAATGACCAACCCCTGACCCCGCCCCTAAACATAACCGTCACGTGGGTTTAGACAAAGCGTACAAATTCGTATGAGTGAGGTCGTATGAATTAGTACGAATTAGCCACTTTTGAATCACTCGTACGAATTCGTATCAATTGGTCGTGAGATAGCGTAGGTCAGACAGAAGTGTTCCTATAGCGTCAACTTTCTGATGCAGCGCTGAATTGTTTTTATCATCTTTTTATCATAATCATCTCATCATTCATAAGTAGTCATTTATCGTATGCATTGATGTGAAGTCTCAGTGGAGGAACTTGAAGTTTCAAGAGCACCACGGTGATTGTTCTTCAATCCCCCCTTGTGGAGTTCAAACCAGCAATAGGGTCTTTAACCACTGAGCCACACCACCATCATAAAAAGCAACAAAACGATAATAAAATGTATCTACCACAACTGCCTTAGTTCTGTGTGTGGTTTTTTTATGCATTTTAAAGAGTGAATTCTTGATTACCTGAACTCATTTATGCATGTGTGGCATTTTCCATTGCTGGCTATTTTCCACTGGATCTTGGGAAGCCAGCTCGTTCTTAATAATTCATTGGTTTGGCTCAGTAGGGCAAACCAGTCTTAAATGGTATAGTCTTACAGTGTGTGTGTGTGTGTGTACAGAACTCAGACTATTGCAAAATAGTGGAGGAGAGAAGAAAATACATTTCACAACTGACAGTTTAAACAGGAGAATGCATGAGGTGAGACCAGACGAGAGGAGAGGAGAATACAGAGGTCTTATACTGGAACGAAAGTTCAGCGTGAGACTGAGGAAAGAGAAATAAACCATTAAGAGGGCAGAGAAGAGTGAGTGATGAACTATAGAGGAGAGGAGAAAGGGCTTAATAAACGATAGGCATGTTATTAATGGCCGGTCTCCTGCAGCGAGCAGATATTTGTGTCTGCCAGTATGGTGATCACTGGACCGAAAGAAACCTCATCATAACCTGATAAACAATCTACCATTCTTTTTCAGTTCTGTACAAAACCTCATATAGAGAA